TATTGTCAAAGCCAGCAAAATGTATGTTAATAGTTGTGAAGCAATAGTAAGAACTTTGGTGTTACTAATACCTTTTGGTTTATTTGTCTTTAATACGCTTTTATGTTACAAATTTTTAAATATCATAAAATACTGACCTGGAGGTAGAAAGTAGGTGCCAGTTCCAGCGTTTCAGAGCTCTACTGTGAGGGACGGACTTGAATACACCCTGAAATGGCTGTATTAACTGGTGGCTCAGCCAACACCCAGATGCATCTGGTTTTGCCTTCATTGCTGAGTGCAGATGGTCTGAGGAACCAGCCAGTCTTCATTTCTGGATGGGCTCTTGTACTTGTGTTTTAACTAAACTTTCTCCAGCATAGCAAGAAGACTTAGAGTATGTGTGTATTGGCAAGTTTGTACATTTGTCTGCTTTTGATGCCTTTCCATCTTAGAAATTTAAAGGTGTTATGCTCCTCAATATTGAGGTATTGACAGTTTTCTGGTCTGTAATGTGTGATAAGGGCAGAGGGAATTACAGTTGATAAACTGTGCATGCCGTATTTCCGAAACTTCACCTATATTTCATTAAATCTCTGTTTCTGTGATTGGAAATTTTGTTGGTAAAGACTGTAGCGTGGACAAACCTGTACCTGACTTAATGTGCTCTATTAGCAATAAAAATTGCCTAAGGTATTAAAGATTGAAATTCACTTGCCATCGTATGAACTGATTTAGCTTTGTGAATCTTAATCTAACAGATAATATCAGGTGCCACTTTGTGTCAGGGCATCTTCCTCAGCTTACTTGTTAGTAAATGATTGTAAAATCACTGGCCACTATTCAGAAATGTTTCAGGAAAGGAATATTTTGTGACTGAAGTTCACTGTGTATTAATGAAACAATCTGATATTTTCTGTGGTTTTTTTTTTTTTTTTTTAATGTTTTGAACTTACACTTCAAATACTGGTTGAGGGGACAAAATGTGTTCATAGCTCTACTATAATTGCAAAAATCTGTTAAACTTGAGTCACAAGCTTTTGAAAAATAACTTTTTCCACATCTTTTGTATGAATTTGATTAGTGTGTCAGTTAAATTTTGGTATCTGGTAAGCCAGGATTAAGACTCAGTTTGTCCTGAATAATTGCCCTTCCTTCTTACTGCTGTTCTTCTGCTTGCTGGAATTGGCAGCACAAAGAGGCCCAGAGATGTGCTGTCAGTTCTTCTTCAGATGGTCCACAAACAGGTTTGAGGAAGAAGCAGCAGACCAATTTACATGTGAAGTTTTGAGAAGTGAAAGATTAGAAGAGAAAGTGTGAGGAGGGGGTGATTAGGATACTAGTGGGGAAACCAAGGCAAAATGCCTGGTGCCCATTAGAAAATTTTCATCTAAACAGACCTTGAGTTTCTACATGCTACTTTTTCTGCATACCAAAACTTGTGAAAGCATTGGGTGACATTTTCTTGTCTCAGTGGTCTGTCAACAGAAGATAAAAGCAAACTACTATGTGACAATCTGCTAATTCAAAGCTCAGAACAGAGGTCTACGTTGTGGATCTAAGGTATCTGGTTCTGCTGGCGACGAGTGGGTATTGAATATAGGGGACAGTCATTATGGTTTGACCAGATATTTCTGAATTTTGCTTTTGTGTTTTTTTTCAACTTTATGTCTTCCTGTTGTGTCTTGTTAGAACATAAGTGTGCTATAAAGTCACATATGTAAAAGATAGAAGAACTCAAAATTATTTGTATAGACCTACATCAGGTTCTTATAATTGAAATGAAAATGGAACAAATTTTCTATTTCTAATATTTAATATGAATCTCTTTTCCTTATATACATGTACTAACCTCATGTTCTGCTTTTGAGTTTATCGTATTTTAGAGAGTGTAAACAATATGTTCTTGGCAGAAAGAATGTATTAGCGGAAAGACTACTTCCATTTTAGTTTTAAGTTATTTCTGTACAGTGTTTAGCTTTAAAGACAGATCTCAGGCACATGTGAGGAAGAGGGTGACAGAGCACTGGCACAGGCTACCCGGAGGGGTTGTAGAGTCTCCTTCTCTGGAGATATTCGAAACCCTCCTGGACGATGTCCTGTGCAGCCTGCTCTAGGTGAACCTGCTTGAGCAGGGGGGTTGGACTGGGTGATCTCCCAAGGTCCCTTCCAACCCTTGCCTTTCTGTGATTCTGATTAAGATAGATGGCTGTGTGTTGTGTATCAAAGGCATTTTTTTCTTCTTGACTTTGGGAATTCTAACCAGAGGAGCAGAGGAATTAATGTGAGACTTCAGGATAAAGACCTAAGAAAGCATTGAGAATAGTTTGTCTGGGTATATACATGTGCTCGACAAAATATCCTGCTCCCTCAGACTATACTGGCAGTCTCAAAGGCCCCAGCTGAGATGAAGGGCCTGTTGTGATAGATTGTATTTTTTGTTGTGTGCAATTGTTGCCTCAAAACATGTAAATCAAAAGGGTTGATAGACGGAGAGATGAAGAGGTACAGTGTAGAGGCAAACAAAGCCAATGTTGAGTTAGCCCAGCTTTAATTTTCATACCGTTTTTATTTTTTTAATCATTGCTGGAGATATAGGGGAAGGCAAATTTGACAAGGCAAGAAGGAAAAATGTAGCAATGTGGAGATAGCAAGCTGAAGTTTCTGTTTCATACTTTAAAGCAGATGCAAAAATCCCTTATAGAATAGAACAGACTATTTCAGTTGGAAGGTACTTGCAACAATCATCTAGTCCAACTGCCTGACCCCTTCAGGGCTGACCAAAAGTTAAATAATTAAGGGCATCATCCAAATGCCTTTTAAACACTGACAGGCTTGAGCCAGTTACTACCTCTCTAGGAAGCCTGTTCCAGTGTTTGACAACCCTCTTGGTAAAGAAATCATTCCTAATGTCAAGTCTGAACCTCCCCTGACACTGTTTTGAGCCATTCCCATGTGTCCTATCCCTGGATCAGCATCTCTCTCTCCGCGTCCCCTCCTCCGGAAGCTGTAGAGAGCAGTGAGGTTGCCTGCCAGCCTCCTTTTCTCCAAACTACACAAACTCCTGTGAGCTGCTCCTCACAGGACATGCCTTCCAGCCCTTCCACCAGTTTGTTACCCTCCTCTGGATGCATTCAAAGACCTGTCCTTCTTAAATTGTGGGGCCCAGAACTGCACACAACACTCCAGGTGAGGCTGCACCAATGCTGAATACAGGGGGACAATCCCCTCTTTTGACTGGCTGGCTGTGCTGTTTTTGATGTTCCTCAGGATGCAGGTTGCCCTCTTGGCTGCCAGGGCATGCTGCTGGCTCATGGTGAGCCTGCTGCCGACCAGCACCCCCAGATCCCTTTCCGCAGGGCTGCTCTCCAGCCACTCCTCTCCCCAATTATACTTGTGCCTGACATTACTCAATCCCAGGTGCAGAATCCAGCATTTGTTCTTGTTAAAACGTCATGCCAGTTGTCCAATGTTCCAATCTATCTTGATCCCTCTGCAAGGTCTCTTATCCCATGAGATAGTCAACAGCATCTCCTAGTTTGGTGTCATCAGCAAATTTGCTAAGGGTGGATTCAACTCCTGCATCCAGATCATTGATGAATATATGGAACAGAACTGGCCCTAGGATTGAACCCTGAGGAACACTGATGGTGACTGGTTGCCAGCCAGATGTAGCCCCATTCACTACGACCCTTTGAGTTCTGCCCTTCAGCCAGTTCTTCAGCCAGTGCACCATGTACCTGCTCATCCCACAGTTGGACACCTTGTCCAGAAAGATGCTGTGAGGGACAATGTCAAAAGCCTTTCTAAAATCCAGAAAAATTACATCCACTGTCTTCCTTTCATCCTGTAGGCAGATGACCTTATCATAGAAGGATGTCAAATTAGTTAAACAGGGCTTTCCCTTTGTGAACCTGTGCTGACTGTGCCTGATGGTTGTGCTGTTCTTTAAATGCCTTTCAACAGCACCAAAAATGATCTTCTCCATAATTTTTCCAGGAAATAAGGTTAGACTAACAGGTCAGTAGTTCCCTTGGTCTTCCCTCACACCCTTCTTGTAAACTGGAATAACACTAGCTAGCATCCAGACAGCAAGGACCTCCACAGATTCCCAAGACTGATCGAGAGGGGTCCTGCCATAACATCTGTTAGCCCCACCAGTACTCTGGGATGAATCCCATCAGGCCCCATGGACTCATGAACATCAGCTGATACAGGTGGTCCCTTACAATTTCAGTGTCCACAAATGGAAAGTCACTGTTCCTGCACTTGTGGTCCTCTGACTCCAGGGACCGGGCAGCCCAAGGTCTATCAGTATTAAAGGCTGAGGCAAAAAAAAGCATCAAATGCCTCCACTTTTTCTTCATCCTTATTAGTCAGGTGACTATCTTCAACAAGTATCTGCTCATTGTTTTCTTTAGACTTCCTCTTGCTATTAATGTACTTAAAGCCCTTTTTCTTGTCTAGTACAGCACTAGCCAATTTCAGCTCTAATCGAGTTTTGGCCTTTTGTATCTTCTCCCTTTATATACTAATCACAGCTCTTTAATCTTCCTGCAAAGCCTGACCTTGCTTCCAGAGATAGTACAATTCATTTTTCTTCTTGAGCTGCATGAGGAGTTCCCTGGTCAGCTGGTCTTCTGTCCCGCTTGCTTGACTTTTGACACAATGGAATTGCCTGTTCCTGTGCTTTTATGTAGTGGAGAATTCAGTTTCAATTCTATTTTTTTTGAATAATGAGACAAAAAAAGTCTTTAAAACCTGTTTACTTCCTTCAGGCAATAATATCAAGTATTTTGATTTGTGTAACTGCCTGGCAGCATTGATATTTAATCAAATCTTAGATATTTTTACTCGTTATCTAAGCCTTTCATAGTCCATAGATGTCAAAACAGTTGTTTTTGTAACTTAATGTTTTGTAAACTATTTTTTAATTACTTTTTTTTTTTTAACTATTAGTGTGGTGGCATTTGGACTACAATTTCAGTACCATCTGTGTAATTGTGTTTCTTCTCTTGCAGGAAACACTGCGTTACATGACTGTGCAGAATCTGGAAGTTTGGAGATCATGAAGATGCTTCTCAAGTATTGTGCTAAAATGGAAAAGGATGGTTATGGAATGACTCCCCTTCTGTCAGCTAGTGTGACGGGCCACACAAACATCGTGGACTTTTTGACCCAGCATGTACAGACCAGTAAGGCTGAGCGCATAAATGCCCTGGAACTTCTAGGAGCAACATTTGTGGACAAAAAGAGAGATCTGCTTGGTGCTTTGAAATACTGGAAGCGAGCTATGGAAATGAGATACAGTGATAGGACTAATATCCTGAGCAAACCTGTGCCACAAACACTAATTATGGCATATGATTATGCTAAAGAGGTAAACAGCTCAGAAGAGCTAGAAAATCTTATTGCAGACCCTGATGAAATGAGAATGCAGGCACTATTAATTAGAGAACGTATTCTTGGCCCTTCTCACCCAGATACATCCTACTATATTAGGTACAGAGGTGCTGTCTATGCAGACTCTGGAAACTTCAAGCGTTGCATCAACTTATGGAAATATGCTTTGGACATGCAGCAGAACAATCTTGATCCACTGAGCCCTATGACAGCCAGCAGTTTACTATCATTTGCTGAACTTTTCTCCTTCATGCTGCAGGATAGGGCAAAAGGCCTGCTAGGCACTACTGTCACATTTGATGATCTCATGGGTATACTGTGCAAAAGCGTTCTTGAAATAGAACGGGCCATGAAACAAACCCAGTGTCCTCCTGATCCAATACAGCTGAACAAAGCCCTTTCCATCATTTTGCATTTAATTTGCTTGTTGGAGAAAGTACCTTGCAGCTCAGAACAGGAGCATTTTAAGAAACAGACTATTTACAGGTTTCTTAAGCTTCAGCCTAGGGGGAAGAATAACTTCAGTCCACTTCACCTTGCTGTTGACAATAATACTACATGTGTGGGTCGCTACCCAGTTTGTAAATTTCCCTCTCTACAAGTTACTGCTATCCTGGTGGAATGTGGTGCTGATGTAAATGTCAGAGACTCTGATAACAACAGTCCATTACACATTGCTGCACTGAACAACCATCCAGACATCATGAATCTTCTTATCAAGTCAGGTTCACACTTTGATGCCACAAACTCGCATAAACAAACTGCTAGTGATTTGCTGGATGAGAAGGAAATAGCAAAAAATTTAATTCAGCCCATAAATCATACTACGTTGCAGTGTCTTGCTGCTCGTGTAATAGTGAATCATAACATAGACTATGCAGGGCACATCCCTGAAAAACTAGAGAACTTTGTTTTGCTCCATAGATGATAGTGTGGAGTCCCAGAGTACTGTTTTTGAAGCACGACTTGGTGACGGTATTTTTCTTGAGCACTGTTGTGATACACCAGCGTTTCCTTAGCTTGCTCCATCTTGCTCTCATTGGCTAAAGCGTTGTTAGCATCAAATCTGCAGAGTTGGTTACCCAGTATTTAATATGAATATTCCATATAATATATTTTGTGGATTATTTAGAAATGTAATGCCATATTTAGACTCTTAAAATTGTCTGCCAAAGGCTTGTCTATTTTGGTCTTATTTGCCTGTTGGGTGTTTGGGACTGAGTTGAGTGTTTTCCACTGATGTCTTTTTGCTATAACTGTTATGTGGATTTTATACAGTTGGAAGGTCATCTTTTCTTTTTTTTTGGTTTTGCTTGAGCATTTCTACTCTTAACTCTGTTCTTTTTCTATGGACTCATTGCTAAACTGTATGAGTTGTATGGACTTGTTAACATTTGCAACTACCATAAGTGCTTTTATCTTCTCTATGCACTGGCTTAAACATGACTGTTGTGTGTGAGCATATTTCTATGCAGCACTTGGCCAATTTCAACTTAAATGCAAATTTTGTTTCGCAGTTTGTTTGGAGCTCTTTGGAGAATGCTGTCTTCATAGCATGATGAATTTTGGAGTTACTTATCAGCTCTCCAAACTTAGGTTTGACTTTTTTGACTGCTGTAACTGAGTTTGCTTTCCTTTTGATCCTCTGGAAATTTGTCCTAAATTTGGGAGAAGAAAACCTTGCTTTTTCTCATCGCAGTCCACTTGAACTTTAAATCTGAAAATCGTTTTATTGCATCGTGCAGTTAGGGGAAGAGTCCTCATTACGTACAACTGGCACCTTCCCCTTTGCACTAATGTGTTGCTTGTGCTGGTTATGTGACTAGATGTGAAGTTTGCTCAAAGTTGAACCTCAAACTTAATGATACACTTTAACGAGAAATAGATCAAATGTATGCTGTAGTTTTAAATTTACAAATCAACTTTAGCTACAAAAGAAACTAAAGCATGTTGGTGGCATGATGCTTATCAGTCCAGATCTAGACATCATCTAATATAGTAAGTGGCTGTGTGCCAGGGTATTGAAAGTTCTATAGCAGTGTCCTTTTTTCTTCATTTTAAGTATCTTTCTAAATACTTGCATGGATTTTTCATCTCTACTATGTCAGCTATACTTAACAAAAAGCGGAAGTTCTGTTGTGTATATAGCTCCTAATTAAAGTACCTATTTTTATAATATTTGCACAACAGCTTAGCTTTTACAACAGAAAGGGCTCTTTTGACTTGATAAGAAATCTGTAAATGAAGATCATAAATGTGAGTGCGATTCAGGTAATTAATATAATTCAGCACTTTACTGTTGATTAATAGTAGAATTTATTATGGCACATTAGCCCTGCAAATGTCTTAAAGTGAAATTCACTTCTGTTGGATAGAATACAGTTTACTTACAAGTTTAGTGGTCTAGCTTACTGGAAATTTTTGACTTGATGTTTCATTTCAGTGGTGGGCAGTAAGCGTACCTATGGGGCTCTTGCTGCAGAAAGTCAACAAGTTGATTTAGGCCTTTGTCAGTGATAGAGATATTTAGAAGCCAAATTAATTAGATAAAGGTAAAGTTGCTTTAGAAGGGTCTTTCTTAATATTTTATTTTTTAAGTTGATGTTGGAACATTTTTGTCATTTGTGAATTATGCTGAGGAAGAATGTGTCTTGGAGCATATAATAATAGTTCTTCCTTGCTTTGGGGATGTTTTGGAGTTCCTGTTAGTGTACAGTGTGGTGCGTACTAGCTTAGCCATTCATGTGAAAAATATGGGGATGTTTTTAAACAAACTATGCTGAAAGCACTGCTGTTTGTGTATTGACACTTTCAGACTCTGTATTTTGAAGCAACTTTTCACCTGTTTGTCCCATGCCATGTCTACATTGTAGGAAATTATGAGAACAAGGAAACCCTGTTAATATCTCTTGCAAATACACAGGAGTAAAATTCTATTCAATTGGCTGAATTTCTCTGATTTGTCGGGATTAAAACACATGATACCTGTTGTCATTTGTGAGAACATGTACTTTGATTGTTGATTTTTTATTTTTTTTTTATTTTTTTGCTTTCCTACTACTCTGTAGGTTGGGATAATCAAAAAATCACACCATGCTAGAAATTATCCACATTATACTTCAAGTCATGAAAATAATTCTTTTTCTATAGGTCACAGGGAAAGGGATTTAGATCTTTAGAGTTTTATGGTCTGGAATCTGTATTGCTCTTTAGTGGGTTTAGTTTAAATTTCTGTCTTTACAACTGTCAAATATCCTTTTTAAAATTAGTTGGGCATTATTAATCCGGAAATATAATCTAAAAATTGTTAATTGTTAGGAAATGTTTGAGTGGAAAACACCCCCAGAAGAGAAAGCGTATCACCATTAAGTATGAGTAAACCTAGTGAAAATTGCTGCACGGAAGGCTTATTCTGTTTAGCTACTCTTTAAAAACAGACCAGTTTAGTAGGACATACTGATTTATTGTATGTAGTTCTGTCTAAATATCTACCAACATGCATTAGTCCTTAAGACTATCACCTCCATGCAGAGTTTAATTTGTCATGGTAATGAGGCTATCTGCTGAACTCTTAACTTGCCAGCTACTTGGACTTAGGTGTCCTGGAGGATGAGTTCACACATTTAATAACCACTTTCTGTTTAGCCCTGTGCATTTACATTACTCTCTTTAATTTTTCTTGATTTTAAAACAAATTGGTATGGAGCCTGTGCTGGGTAATGTGATAGGGATTAGTTCAGGATTTGCCGATGGAGAGGGAGGGTTGGGACAGCAGGCCCTGTCTGAGATGCATGTGCCACTAGGGCCTGTGCTGATGGGTAGTAGCAGTTCTGGCCCCTCGGCCCCTGATTCAGTTTTGTCTCCACTTCTGTACAGACACCAAATTTCTGGACCAGATTTTTTTTTATTCTTGTTACTATTCAGAGGTGGGAATAAGTTTATTTTAGTGAAACACTTTGATGCTAAATGCAGTAGTGTTGCTAGCTGGACTCAAGCTGTGGTAAGGACAAGGAACTAATTCAGAACACAAAGAACTGTTTTGGTTTTGTCATGGTTTTAACTCATTCTTTTCCTGTTCTTTTCTTCCTCTTTGGGCTTTTTTTCGATTAAATGTACTGTTTCTGAGCTACCACCACGGCAGAAAAATATTGAGAACACTGCAGAAAAAAAATTGTATGCCCTGCAGGGGTGAAACAGGTTTTAAAATTGATTAAACAGTTTACAGGTCTGACGCCCTAGAGACAAATACACTGGTAACCTCCTTGCTTGTTAAGACCTCTGAAGCTGTATTTTGTGGGTAGGGGATAAATGCTCAAAGCATATTTTCTTATAATTGTTGTGAGTTTTAACTGAAATAGTTCAAACGGAAGATGAAGAGTATTCTCATTTAAAAAAAAAAAAAAAAAAAAAACTTTTTCTTCTAAAAAAAAAAAGCTTTTCTTACCAAATTCTAAAATTGTATTCCTATTTTTGTATCACTTATGCTGGTAACAAGGTTCCAGCTGTCTGTGGTGTCTCTGTTCTGTTTGTTAAGTGCAGTGTAAAGACACTTTCCGAAATGCAAGGCAACAGTGTGGTTAGTTTTCCATATATACTTTACAACAGTCCCTGGGTAGGAAGTAATTTTGTGTATTTCCCAAGTCCCCAGAGAGCTCTCTTTTAATGACTGTTTTGCAGCTGGGTAAAATTAACCTCTTTCCATTTTTACAAAACACTACTTTAGAAAAGGAATAGAGTGCTATAGCAGAATCCTTACAGGAGGATTTATAAAAAGATAAAGACCTTATGAGGAAAAAACATGCCTCTCCTCAGTTTTGTATCCACTGCAAGGTGACAGTGGCAGGACATGACTGCTCTTGAAATAGCTTCCTCGTGCTTTGAAACATAGAGTGGAATGCCTGTTATACTTTAAACTGTTACGAAACGTAAGTAGACTAAACACTAATTTCTATCTTCAGTGGCTACAGGGAAGCCAACTGGCATTTAATGCTTCAAAGTAATTTTGGGGAAATTGATGGGAGGCAATCTAGACTGCTGGTCTCTCGGCTCCGAGTGCGAAAGTAACTGTTGACCCCTCAGTGAGGGCAGAATGAAAAGCTGTTGTTGGTTTGGTTTAAACTAACGTCGTATTTCTGTTCCATCCTATCACAAAGACTTCCTATGCAGGGCTAGCTTCGTGTATGGAAATATTGCAGTTTCTTTTTTACGTGAAGTAATTTGGCTTTAACACTAATGTAAAAAAGGAATAACAAGCATATTTCTCTGCTCTCTCTTTAGGCTCCAAATGCAGATTACATTAAAAATATGTTTTGGAGAACATCTGTCTGAGTCTATATATCTGTTTCCTTTAGGGTTACTGCAATACTTGTTGGTAAGCTCAACAGAAAAAGGAGTATAAATAGTTAAATGTGACTGCTGCAGCTTTAGACTTCAATCTTCCTGTCAGTAAGAATCATACCTTAAACAAAATATCAAAATGTTTCATTCTCTTTCTTTCTGTGGAAGGCTGGTCCAGCCAAGCCTTTAAATTCTGGTCCTGGGTAATAGTGAAGAAAAGGCTTAAACTAGATGATGCAGGAGACGTTATTTACTCAGTTCCTAGAAAATGCAGTTAGTCATGCTATTAACTCTGTGAAAACATAGCAGTTTATAGCATAAAAGTAGTTAGGAAGACCTTGTAAGAAGTAAGCAACAGATACTTTTTCAAGAAAGTTGCACAAATTAGTTTTCTCCTTAATGCTTTTGAAGTCTCTTTCCTATTGCATGGACAATTTTTAAAAAATAGAGGAATACACCGAGGGTGAGAGGAATACACCAAGGGTGAGAGAAGTATGACAAGATCCTTCGTAAAGGCAGCTAGAGAATGGAAGACTTCGAAGAACATTGCCATTGTAATTTCAAAAGATCTTTATAGTCAGGCACAGTGGTCACTTGAAGGCAGCGTACGCTTCAGAGAGCTGAAATTTTAGATTTAGGCCTAATCAGTAACAAACAACATCAAAAAAGATGAAGTTTTGGGTGAGGAAAGCTGATCCAGAGCTTTCACAGTAAGGTAATTGTAATACAGATGGCTTTAATGAATTGAATATAGGTTCTCTTAATTAGGGAAAGGAAGAGCCAGAAAGGATCATTTTCTTTGTAACTCTTCCCTCTGCAGTTGCAGGTGATGAAAGATGTTTTCGTCTAGAAGTGTCTGCTGGTCACCTAAGCTGTATACTCACACAAAAATGCTTCTTGGCAGTAGCAAATGCCGGCTGTCAGCAGAGGACCAAAACTCACCATACAAAGTAGCACAGGAAGAGGGCAAAAGAGGCCAAGTATGTTACTCTGGCAAAGGCAGTACATTTGTTTGTTTCCCATATGATATTCAGGTGCATATACCATCCACAATGAAAATGAAAAAGCCCTTCCCCTGCCTGCCAAATCAAAGCCTTACCTTGCAGTTGATGTCCAACATTCAGAAAAATTGAGGACAGAGATTCTATAGTTGGAAGTTATGGACAATGATGCTGAATTATGCACAAGGGAGGAACAAGAATTGCTTTCTGAACCCTGCAGGTGCCTGTCAGAAGCCAGTAAGTGTGAGGCTATGATGTAAATGGCAAGCACATCTCCCATCAGATCGTAAGACATCTTGGTTCCTATCTGAAGTTCAAAGGCTTGCTTTTACCGTATCTTCTGAAGATTTATCAAGTCCTAAGTTCCTCGCCAAATTGCTCTTTAGAAGGCTATTTCAAACTTCAGTCCTTCAATAAGTAGGAACTGACCTCCCATTTGACGCTTATGTTTTCACAGGTTTGTGTGTTTGATCTTTTCATAGTCTCAGCACTTGTCTGTCCTTCAGACAGAGCTATCCTCTCTCAGCCTTCATGTGGTTAGGCTAAACCAACCAACCAAAATAAAAAACCCAAGCCGTAAGGATGAGCAAAGAGCAGAGAATAATCCAGGGTTGAGTAAGCTGACCTAATGGTTCAGTTCTCCCTTTTCCCCTCCCTTGCTTGTATGTTACCAAAAAGAAAAAAAAGGGGGAATCACTGATTCGCTGAATATTTTTTGCTTCTGAACCTGCAATTTAACTTGTCAATTCTTTTCTAGTTACAATGGGAGGAGTTTTTTAGAGTAAACAGAGTCAATTGTTTTCAGATACTTCAGCTTATGTTGTCCGATCCTAATTTTTGTTAGATGCCATTTTGTTCTATTCACACACAGGTTTATCCTAGCTGGAAAGTGAGTCAAAATGTTCGGTGGATGAGCCAGACCTGGATTATACTTTACTTCCATCCCATAGGTTCAGAACTGTAAACTTGCTTTTTCTCCTTCTCCTTCTTTTTGCATTTTATTTGCTAGCCTTTAAGACTGGGTCCTCCTAAGCTGTCTGTGCTCTTTCTGTATTTCTGGCTTTGCTGGTTGGGGGAAATACATCACCTTCTTTGTTATGCTTTTTTCCCCCTCACACATAAAGTTGCGAGCTGCAAAAGAAAAAAAACAACAAACAAACCCTCAAACAAAAAACCCCAAAGCCCCAGGGCCTACTGTAAAATAACAAAATATGCT